TACGTTAACGGTGCGAGCGAGAAAGAGCGCGCGCGCGCTGGGCAGCGCACGTGGTCGTATAACAAAATTAAGGCGAGGTGAGCCGCGCGTCGTTTAATTTATCGCCGTACGAATCGCCGGGCGAACCTCCCCGACGGGCCTAATAATAGTGGGTGCCCCTCGGGCCGTCTGGCTACCACTACGGGCCTGGCTGGGGCGTGCGAGTCCCGCTGTAAATCTAGCGGGTTGCTCCGGAGCTCCGACCGGAATCCTGGAGTTTCGCGCCGGCGTATGTAATTTTGATGTTAGGCTGGAATTACCGTCGCGCGCGGTTACCGCGCGTTACGACGCCGTTTTTCCCGTCGTGCCTCTTCCCCTTCGCACGCCGCAACGTACCCTTCCTCTCTCCACCCCTTTCGAGAGCGATCGTATCCTCTCTGTCGGAAGACTGCGGAGTTTCGCGGGTGGAAGACGAGAAATTCGTCGCTGTCGTCGTTGTCGACAAACGCGTGGTTTTGATTCGAAACATTTTACTCTGAAGGAGAATTCACACCTTGGCGGAACAGCGGAAGACAGAAAGACAGGAACCCAATCAAAACCCCGCGCGCATCTGTGCGAATTCTTCCAAATTCTCGCAAGCTCCGAGAACGGCAGAGAGACGGAGAAATAGAGAGAGAAAGTCGTGTTAACGATTGTTTTTCACGGTCGGTGTTAGCGGCGTGCTCGCGTAAATATCGTCATGCGTCGCGAAAAATTGCGCGGAGGTTTTAAAATTTGGCGAGTTAATTACAGCGTTTAAATGTAATCTCTTAAAAGCACTCGCGCGCGCGCGCGCGCGCGCGCGTTTACATTTACAAACATTTCCATTTTATTATTCTAACACTTGCGGCAGCACGTAGGGCGAATTCCCGATATTAAAACATTTCCCCGTGCCGCGGATTCCGATTATATTTTACATATATTTTATACGAATCTCCGTGCTGCTCGCACATCCGTCGATAGCTTCTCTACGCGGCAAGATCGCACGATCATTTTGACGAACTTGTGCGAAAACACGCAAATCGCGCCTCGATATGGTCTTGTTATTGCCCACTCGACGATAGTCACAATCTTATACTACACTTTTAAACAGAATCATAAGTCTCGTAACTTGTTCTCGTAAAATTCGTAAGAATTTATGAGTAGATTTACAATTGTATGCATTATCATATGTCGTACGATCACTTGTAAATATCATAAATTATATGAAATCGTAGATATCTATGAGTAATTATACGACATAATATTGTATAGAATTGTAAATCTACTCATAAGTTTTTACGTATTTTACGAGAACAAGTTACGAGACTTACGGTTCTGTTTGGAATTGCAACATTAGTCTTAATGGATACGCGAGATAATCAAGAATTTTCGCACACGAATTGTCATAATATAAGATGTAAACCTTAGCTGAAGAACCAATTGAGGATTTTGCTATAGTTTTGTGTACATTATAGAAGAAAATAGAAATGTCGGTAAAAGAGGATATGACTTTTAGGCGATTTGGGGCTAAGTGAACGCAAATTTCCTATTTTTTCCTTCGTATTTTTTCCCGTAGAATTAAAAAATCGATCTTAAAATTACGCCAAGTAAAGGGAAAAATAGTTCTAGACGTATTTAAACGTTGATTTTCTCTGAAAATCATGCATTTTCCAACACTGCCATTTTAAATATCTTTGACCTTTTAGTGTGAGAAGTGCTAAACCTCACATATTACATAGGAGACTTATTTTCTCAAAACTTAATAATGATATGAGAGTATACTCTGAGCAGCAGAGAAAAAACAGCAGTCAATTAAAAAAATATTAACTATCAAAATAGTACAAAAGTGATTTTGTACTCCAGCTTTTTCAGGGTTATACAGGGTATTAATAAACGAAAACATATAAGGAGCTTCTTCTCGAGTATACAGTAGCTTTCGCCGCTCAAATTGCTCCGCTTAAGGCAAAGCTCGGAATTAGTTGCCCATTTCGGCCGATTGACTGCTGCTTTTTCTCTGCTGCTTAGAGTATATTCTTATATCAAATTTTGAGAAAATAAGTCTCCTATGTAACGTGAGATTTAGCACCTCTAAAAAAGTCAAAGATATTTAAAATGGCAGTGTTAGAAAATGCATGATTTTCAAGGAAAATCAACGTTTAAATGTCTATAATTATTTTTCCCTTTACTTGGAGTAATTTTAAGGTCGATTTTTTAATTCTACGGAAAAAAATAGGAAATTTGCGTTTACCTAGCGGCCCCCAAATCGCCTAAAAGTCATACCCTCCTTTAATCATGTGGCAAAAGTAACCAGGATTCATCTGATTAAAATCTTGGTTGCTCAGTCTGCATTCTTCTCATAGCGGTCACTTCAATTTTCTTCTAGTTAGAAGAATCCTACAGCAATATCCCGATTGGTTTTTTAGCTTCATGTCTTGTGTTCACGATTGCGATAGAGTTCGTGTGTGCGGGAGCCCTAAGCATCGCAAACATCATCAGAGTCGAAGAAGAGACGACTCCTTCGCGGTTTCAGCGAGCAAACGGGCGGTTTTCACTTCCGCGATAAGATCTCCCTTCTGTCGCCGACAGTGGCGATGCACCGTTCACGTGAGTCCCCGGCGACCCGAAAGCCTCGAACGTCCTCTTTGAGACGTCCTGTGCGAGAGCACCCTAGCGCCCGGACTGTGACAGATTTTGCGCTCATCTCGTTAGAACGAATTGGCGCTCGCGACTTCAAAACCGAGGGGACGAGAACCCCACACTTTGTGCTTCAAAGAAGTGCTTCCACTTCGCCGGCGTGCGGGAGCATTTTACCGGCTCTCCCCGCTTATTTTTTTGCACCCACCGACCGCGCGCACCGGCTCTCTCCGATACATGTACGTATATTTTACGAGATATTTTCCCCGATGCATGTCGCACACAAGTGCACGCTTATGCAGAGATACGAGTATTTAAAATGGTATTCCAGAATTAAATCTCCACCCGTCTCAAAATAGACGTGTATTGCTTTTCTTTTTAATAAAAAGTTATAGGCTTGTATTAATAGTTATCACTTGTCTCATGTGAGATTCTCAAATTTCTATACTGAGTTAGACCCAGGTCTTTCAGTTGAATTGCGATTGAAATTTATATCTGTAGTCGCGATTCAATTTAAAAAACTTTCATTTGGCTCTAAGTTCAAATCTGAGTATCTCACTTGAGACGAGTTTCAAATAACTTTTAATATGGGCCATAAACATCCCCCCGATCAAGAACGTTGAATTGGAATGTCGAAAGAATTATATTACATTCACGATTAACCGTAGCAGCTCTTAAAGTAAGGCGGAAGTATCAATGATGTGTCACGACATATGTCAAATCTTGGACATTCTTCTTGCTTTGTTTTTTAAATACGAATATTTAAACTATAGAGATATAGGGAAAATATATGTATATATATATATATTGTATGTTAAAAATTTAAATATTCGTATCTAAAGACCAAAACAATAAGAATGTTCAGGATTGGCACATTTCCGGACACTTTTACTTTATTATCTCATAATAATGTCATCAAAAAGTTTAGTCACACAATAAAAAGAGTCAAATTATATAAAGTGTCATAGACATAATAAAAAGAGACATAATAAAAGTCATAAAAACAAACGAGAATAATAAGAAGAATAATATAGATAAAATATATGTGATAAAAATATATATGATAAAATGCACTGATATATTAGTCAGTTTTATATTATTAACATTTCATTAATAAATAATATGAAAAAAATTCAGTTATACTTTGTATGGAATTTTCTTTCCTTTACTGTAAGATCATGTGTGATATTTTGACTGCATTTCTTTTCTCACCGTTTTGTCATATTATATTTTAAACGTATTCATTTATAATTTACACGTTTTAAACGTGTTAAATAAAGTGACTTAAAACGATAAGAAACATATAAAAAGGGTTTCAAACAAATTGTATATTTATAATTTAAGAATAACACACTTGGATTTGTAGTATAGACTTTTGTTTCATATTGATTGTATCACACGTCTATATACATACAAGTGTTATTTATCCCGACGTAGCTTTGCCAAATTGTTTCTTCCCGAGTCGAAATTTTATTGATTCCGCAAAAGTCTCATTGAACTTGAAGGATACATGGAGAATCTTAAATAAAAACACAACACAGCTGTGTTGTTTTATTTTGATATATATGTTTTTGTATGTTCGCGGCATATTATGTATGTTCTTGCTACCGTTTACCTTCCATTAAGTCTTGGGTTAAGTCAATAAAGCTACATTTTCCTATGATTTTTTGTTATTATCTTTTAATTGGAATTAGAAATTTTAAAAAGATTTGAAGATTCAAAAGAAATGAAAAAGAAGGAACTGTAAGAGCAAATAGTTTACTTGTCTAATAATATTACAACGCAACAATAGAGTCAAATTCAAATTTTGTATAATAATATTAATCTCTACGACATATGCAGAAAGAAAATGTTAGATTCAGGATGGAAATTGTGCTATTAACATTAAACGAACATTATTGAAATAAAATTCAGCATTCGTGGAATTAGACTCTAAGGCCGGAATTCATAGTTGCGAATTATTTACGGTCTTTGATCAAGAGCATAATTAATTACAGGTTTGTATTTATGAATCGTTATTCGATTGTGGATCTGTAAGTCTGTTCTTTTTAGCTGAACTGCTTGAAATAATGCATACGGTGCAATAGGTTAGAGCGAAATAAAATATACTTGTCTCACTCTAGCTTACTGCACCGGTGTGCACCAGTTCAGACAGTTCAACTAAAAAGAACAAACCTAATATCTTTTGTTGTATAAGCTATATAAATATGGATTAACAAGTAATCAAAAGGATCCAGCTATAATTATTTGACATATGATGACACACTATGAATGCCGACCAAATTTGGACTCGGGATATCTCTTTGTTATCAGCAAGTACGTCAAACGTCGGAATCTCTCTGTGTACAATACACGATTTCACATACCTGTGAATTCGCAACGTACCGCTGCTCGTGTCCTCGCGTCGTTTTTCTCTTTCATCATGGCTTCCCGATCTCGCGTCTTGCACTCCCGGCCACTTCGTCGTATCGTCAGCTCATGGCACTGACTTTGGTACTGACGCACTCGCGTGGACACGATTCGATCGAAAAGAAACCCGTGCGAACGAAGACGATGTCCACGGGATACCGATTACACGCTTTGAGAACGACAAAATCTCGCGGATCGCGCGACACGACTCGCAACGGTCGCTCTGACTCACGTAGTCGACTGACTGAATGTGGCAACACTTTCCATCGAATGACTTCCTTAACACCCGTATCCAATAGAATTTCTTCTATAATATAATTCTCACGAGACACATTTTCTCCTATCGGGGACACGCGTTGCTGCACTTAATACCGTTTATTCTAACCTCTCGGTACGCCGACTAACAACTAAATCATAATCTGTCTTTATCTAATCTGAAGGAAAAACAAAGAAGCATACGACTTAATCATTAGCTTACCGAGACGTTGATAAGATCGGCCTAATTTATTTCATTGGAAGGAAGAACGAAGTTTAGACGTGCGACTTAATCGTTGGTTAGAGCTCACCCAGAGATTAGAAAGATTGGCCCTTAATCAGTCGACTGTATTACGTATCGCGCAGCTCCCCGGCTTGAGACGTAGTGTGACTCGCTTCACGGAAGAGTGCGCGGCGCGCGAGACACTACCAAACAGCTGGCGAAAAAGACGTATCCCTCCCCCCCCCCCCCCCCCCCCCCCCCCCCCCCCCCCCCCCCCCCCCCCCCCCCCCCCCCCCCCCCCCCCCCCCCCCCCCCCCCCCCCCCCCCCCCCCC